GGCCGTCGCCCGCCGCGCCCGCCGCGCCCGCCCCGCCGCGCTCGCTGGCGGCCCTCGTGTACACCATGCTGCAGGCCAGGAAGAGGATATACACGCATCCACTCGATACTGCGGCTATGTGTCAGTACAATCTTTATTGTTTATTTACAAATCGATCCAAGAAGTATCTCGTGCAGGACTGATAGCTTCGATTAAAATATATTTCTTGAAGGTATCAGAAATCTTGGCCGTGTACCTCATAATTTTTCGTGGCGTCAAGCGCAGTCTTCTTCAAACTCCCACGTAATATTATCCTTCATCTGAAACAGGTTAAGATTCTGTGCTAACTCGAATACTATCTAGTTGGGTTCTACCCAGGAGAAAGAGTAGCAAATCACTCGCAACTTCTAGTTTTAACTATTGAAATTTCGATTATAGCTAAACGAGGCGGTAGTGTGCGCACAAGTCGAGCAGACACCGCGCCGGGAGGATCAGCCAGACGCTCGGAGCTACGGCGGGCGCGGACACGACATGCCAGATCGTAAGTACATAATTATATTAGTACATTGTTCAAATGGTGTTCCAAATCCTTCTTGTAAGCATAAAATTAAATTCTATTAAAAACTCTGACAGTTCATAGTATTATCAGTATGTTAGAGATATTTATCGTATATGTAAATCGAGTTATAATATTTTCACTATCTATTTATTTATCGTATCTATCAGTTGGCGTTCCATAGTCTCTACCTGCCTACCATGGGAGACAGGTGTGAGGTTATGTATGTATTTACACCATTTCTTGCTCCTTCTCCACAGAACCGGCAACGAGTTAGAGCTGGGAGCGATCCGGCCTCACTCGAGTAGTCTAGTGGTGCGTCGGGCGGACATGTCGGTGGCGCCGGCCGCGTCGCTGTCGGCGCCGCACACGCCGACGGGCGCCGCGCACCCGCCCGGCGCCGCGCACGGCCCGCACACTCCGCACTCGCTGCCGCCGCGGGATAAACAAACTAAGCTGGGATTAGGTAAGAGTTCATCCAAAAATCTATTGTCGCACCCTAAAAAAGAAAGTAGGGTGTACTTTTTTTTCTTTTACAAATGTTTGTAATTTTAAACTGCCAAATAACATTCTGATAAATACGAGAAAAGCATAACTTAGGGTTGGTCTTGCCCTATTTCGAAAACTAGATGTCCTAAAAATGTAGCTAAAAAGGAACTGTTTTTTTTTTGGAGCTCCCCTTATGTTACATCTCCCGTAAAGACACATGGCCTTGGGTTGAAATGATCTGCCTCAAAAGTTATCGATCATCTATATAATTATATAAAAATGAAACCCGATCCCAGTCATCACGCCATACCTTGAGAACGGCTAGAGTCTAGCCGCTAGACCGATTTGGCTGATTTTTTTTGTTGTTTATTGTCGTCATGAGAAGGTTCTTAGGACAGAAAAAAGCCCTGAAAATCCTACGGGGACAGAAGAAAACGGGATTGCGCGTACGAAGTCGCGGGCAGAAGCTAGTACAATATACAAATCTTGCCGCTATCTGAAAATAGTTGTAGGTACATCCTTTATAGTAATCTGTGCTCCCGCTGAACAATACTAAAAAGAAAGCATTTCAAAACAGTCAAAATATATCGGTATTAAAAGTACATTTTAATAACATAAAACTCACTTGCCACTAATCTTTTTACAGGAGCTCGTCTTAAAGCAGCAAGCTTCTCATCAAGAACCAGACCCAGGGATAGATCGCCGAACATACGAGAACAACCACATGAAGGTTCAGGCGCCTCTATTGGCAACGGTACACCTGGCTCCTTCCGCATAAGATCTATCACTAATGCCTCCATATTTAAGAGCAGAAACAAGGAGAAACGCAGTAAAGAGCAACTAGATGGTGAAAGCAAGGAGAACGGAGATGCAGTCTCGACTAGGATGTAACTACATTGTGATGATTCTTATGTTTGAGGATTGACATAGCCTAAATCTAATTTTACGTTACCTGTTCTGAGGCCTTAGTATGAGTTTGTTTTACGTTTAAAGTAATCGTAACGAGTACGCGTTCGGTGCTCTGATTGGTTGGTTCATTGGCGCCGGCCAATCAGAGACTCGTTACGAATACTTTAAACGTAAATGAAACTCGTACTAAGGCCTCTGCAGAATTTAAACTTTCTTGTCAACGGCCATCTATTGATTTATCAGTAGATTTTTGAGAAGGTCTGATAAAGCAGATTTATCGCCGTTTGTCGTCCTTTTAATAATTATGTTATGATATGTTTATTTAGATTACACCTTACATGACTGATTCGCAGCTATACCGTATAATGAAAGCTGACTAGAGGCTGTCACGAATATAGCGCAAAATATTTGAAAAATAACGGTTTTTAGCGAAGTTGCATCTACTTGTAGATAATATATCGTTTTTGTACATAATCTTTTAGATTCTATTTATTTAATATTTATACTACAAATGACATTATTTATTTTTAATCTATACTTTTACTCTTGACATTATAATCTGTATTAGACTTTATTATTTATTGCGGAAAGCACAAAATGTATTGTATACCTATTTTATTATGAGAGTATTGTTTTATGAACGCTAAGCGTTTCATGTAAATATTGTAAGATAGTTTTTGTATAGTCGGTCAGAACTATTGGACTCGATGACTGGGACCAAACCGATTGGCTCTGAGATATGTGCGAGGAGTTTCGAGGAGGCGGGACGTCTTACAACAAATATTTTATCGTAGAATTTTCTGGAATACTTTTATCGTTTGTAAGGCGCAAGAGTCCATCAGTTATGACTGCTTCATAGATTTAGTTGTAAGGATAATTTAACAGCATTTTACTTTAATATGTATAGGATTGAATGTGCCACCGTTTTACAGTAGAACAGACAATGCCAAAGAATCTACATGATCTCAAAAGCATTTTAGTAAAGCTTAATAAGTAGACATTTTAACATATTTAATATAAGATCTGACTACGTATATTAGTAGATTTACTGTCTAGAAACTACGATGTTGCCAAAGCCAAACTAATGTAAGTAATTTCGAACAAATATTTTAAAATGAACTCTATGACATATGAAATAAAACGTCAAATCAACTTGGATGATTTATTTATTTCCCTAATATATATAATTTTGAATACGCGTCTGCTCTAATAATTTAATTATGTAGGAAACATGATTCAAAAGTGAATTTATTCAAAATATCTCTTTTAACATTATATTAATTTCATAAACTCATTGCTTAATAAATACATCTATAAATAAAAAGCTTTGGAAATATTCACACGTAAATAGCACTCGAAATATGAATCCATTAACATCTTATGTAATTTACATACAAAACTTTGGAATTTCAAAAATTATTAACAAAAATGTTTCAAAAACAGGAGAACAATGAGATTTCAATACAGATTTGTATCATTCATTTCATTCACTTGTCATTCGTTCAAATCGTACAGTTCATTCATTCATTGTATCATTTGTACCATTTACTACGTTTGATGATGACATCAATCGCTCTTATTACACAATCAGATCAGACACCAGCACGTAAAACCAGGAATACATTCAAGAAAAAAAAACGTACTGTAACATTTTTCCCTTAGTGTATCCCGGGTTTTAAGTTACCCCAAACAGTTCAATAGAATTTTCAACCTTATCTATGTGATAGATAAAGTTAAAAATGTATTTGACGGACTCGTAGTAGCTTCATGTGCTGGTGACTAACCATACATGCAACATTTACATACATTCTAACAAAGTACTATTATACCTGTGATGTTTTTATTGCTTATAGTCAAGCACTGACCTTATAAATGAACTCATTAATATCTTATATTCTCCTATAACTACACAGCCGACAAACATTTTGGAAATGATTTTACATAGTAATATAAAAAAGTACTTTTTTTTACTTACAAAGCTCTAGTTTTGGACCCTCTTCGCTCGATGTATTAAATAAATATTTAATTTATCTTATTTATTGCATATTAATACATTATATTAAATTTTATCGAAGCTAGAATAGGTCTATATATTTTGAAATTAGGTTTTTTCTTAATTTTACAATGTACTATTTAAAACCATCATTCCCTATTTATTATACAACCATTTTCCTTTGTATTCGTACTATGATTAATTCACAATCCTTCTATAAATATTTAAAGCTAATTATAGCTTTAAGTAAGGTTTACTGAAGTGTAATATCTTAAATATCAAGACAGTTCCCTTTACAATCGACTTTCAACTTACGATCTAATTTGTGACGGGTCTCTTTCTCTTGTAGAAATCAAAGTATGCATATCACAATATATTAAATAAATATTACGTTAAAATAAGTTTCCTCGATGTATTTATTTACATTTGTGATTTAAAGGCACGATTGTTAAAGAACTTGCGCAAAGTGCGCAAAAAATATCGCAAACTTTTGCGCATCTCAAAAGTATGATATGAGAATTATTTGAGAATATCTAGCATGTCGAATATTAATCTATTCGCGTACTTATTTAGACCTTACTATGTACGGTCCTTCACATGTATACAACTTTAGCCACCTAATATTATGACTACAATGCATTAACGTCTTTGATCCGTCAGTCTTGGTCTAATACTAAAGCGACTCACACAATAAATACAGGCAAGATTCCCTTTTAAAGTTCATATAAAAATATTTGTGGCCATATCTATGGCACCAATGTGATTTCGTGATTTAATTACACTTTAGTAATATTTATTTATCTAATTTATTATTTATTGTTAATTATGTTCGGGTCGCATCGTTGCTGTTTGTAGTACTTCCGTCCATCTGGAACAAGTTACATAAACATGAATATAACATCACGCCCTTTATCCCCGAAGGACTAGGCAGAGGTGCACATTACGGTACTTAATGCTACTGTATAATGTAACACCCACTTTTCACTATTTATATTATGAGTCCCATGTAATAGGAGGTGAGAATTAAAAAACCTATAAATATTTTGCCCGAACCAAACAAGGGCCCAAAAGTCGCACTTGCGACCACTTGGCCAACCAGGCAGTTGGTCAACTGGAAAAAGTTGTATATTGTAATTCCGATTTTTGTTTTCAATTTGTAGAGTGAATAATTAGTACAGTATGAATGCCTTACCTGTTAAATGTGTACTGGCTGTCTGCCCTGAAGAAGTACACGTGGTTCTTGAACTGCAGTTTGAATACGAAGTCTTTGTCGATGTTGTCTTCTGACGCCGGCGCGCCCACGCTGTATCTGTGTTCGTAAGTAATAAAGTTGGCTTTTATTATGGAAGCTTGAGGTTAAGTGAAATCGTATAATGTACACCATTAGATCAACGTATGCAATTGATATATTTATAACATACACACACATTGGAGATTCTATACACTTATACATACGACATACTCCTAAAATCCTAATACCATTATTTTTGGTGTGAAAAACTAAATAATTTTTCGAAACTTACCCCAGCAAAGGTAGCGACGCAAGCGGTGTTTCATCCTGCCAGGACTTGTAGAAGAACAGTGTGGATATAGCGAACACTACCCACAGCTTCTGCCAGCCCGGGGACTTCTTGAACTTGCGCAGTAAGTACCCGGATAGTTGCGTCTACAATAGAAACAATGAGTATTTTTACAGCCATTTACGTCTATTTGAAATCGACAATTCTAGAATTTTGACCGTGTAGGCACTCATTTGTAGCTCTAGTCAGGTGGAATACAAAAAATATATTAAACAAAGACAAAGAACCAAAATTTCTACGCCTAGACGAGAGCTTAGATGATAAAACCATGAAAAATATATTCTCTTACCCGCATAGCGAGATGTAGATGTACAGAATCGAGCGACGTGAACCGGTGCCAACATACATGTGCCAGGCCCCCGCCCGCACTACTCGCCGCGCTGGGGGATTCTGTAGCAACACAAACTAATACATTAATATCTATAATCAAGTATTGACTGCAACTTCATCCAGGAATCCAGATTCCACACTAATATATGATAATCTTGCTTCAAAAAATGAGGTCCCTCATTGTTGTCGCAATATTTTTTAATGCTTAATTCAAGGTTTAAAAGAAGGTCCAAATATCAAAGAGATCTCAAACTGATGGTCTAATAAAGGTTAAAGATAAATTCTTCAAGTTACTCAAAAAGAACCGGAAAAAGAAAAGAAAATATAATTAAAACAATATCACTACTATTGTCAATCTATTTGAGTTTTCAAAGCAGGAATTTAGTAATAACTTTAATCTTAAACATGAAATATAATTCACAACACAAATCTAATGAAATCAAACGTACCAGTCTCTTGTTCGTAAGGCGTAAGTTCAGTGTCGACGTCAGTAAACTTGTCGCGCGCGTTTTCAATCGCGTTCAACAGAGCGTTGTACCAGCCTGTGTATTCACTGTCGTTCGTCGCACTCAGAGGCAAGTTTACATCTTCACCTGCTGAAATAAATGTTTAAATAAACTGGTGTAGCCAAAAACAAAGTACGGCACTAGATTACCTAAATAATATAAAATTACAAAACATAACATCACGCCATTTCTCATCGAAGGGGTAAGCAGAGGTGGACATTATGGCACTGAATGCCACTGTACTATGTAACACCCACTTTTCATTCATAGTGACACAGTGGTAATATAATTAATTCCAAACTCCATGCTACTACTGAGATTATTTTTTTTAAAACCCAGTAGTAATTTGCCCGACCTTGGAATCGAACCCGAGACCCCTTGCCCGGCAGCTGCACTTGCGACAACTCGGCCAATAAGGCAGCAAGCAAAATAACAAAATTACTAAAAGAAAAAAAATGTTAAACCAATAATTTATTTAAGCAAAAGCACCTTTTAAACTGTCAAACACCAAGCGGTCACCGGTGACCGCAACCTATTGTTCTATAATTGTGTCTATAATGACGGTACTCGACGAGTTAATTGACAATAATAATTTGACCGCTATAAATATGTAGACTTACACAAAGTAGTAGAATAAAACAGACATTTCACAAGTTGATCATAAGAGTAAATATACATACCAGTAAGTGAGAATGAGTGCGGTAGCTCTGAAGTGTTGAGGTGGAGTGCATGCAGCGGGAGGGCGGAGTGCGCGCGGAACTGGGTACTGCCCGTCTTTGACGTCACCACTAACACGTCGCTGAACTGGAAGAATAACAATACTTATTCATTTGGACGTAATACAATATCAAATTCCTAATCCACAGAAAGCCGGTAATGCACTTAACACATCTCTGGTGTTTCAGGTGTCCATGGGCGGCGTCGATTGCTTATCATAAATAAAAAGACAATGCGGAACTCTAGACACCAAATTATTACTGAGAATACGTAAAACCTGAATGAAGTATTCCAAGTATTCAGATTTTTATTAATTTTACTCAGGAATCGAACCAGAGAGTCGAGAATGAGACCATTAAGTAAGACTTAAGCGGCTACACAACTAAAAAGGTAACAACCAAAATGAAGTATTGTAAACAATTAACGTTTGAACGTAAATCATGATATTTTAAGTGCATGCTAACACCCGAATACTGAAAGGCTACTCAATTTTAAATAGTATTTAAATATCGTGCTATCTCTGTCATTTTATTAAGATTTTATTTTTTTAACGTTGCCCCACACTAGGATTTTCTCCTGTGTCGTGGGTGCGTTTACAAACATACAAGTTCACATACACAATGACACCCAGACCCGAAACAACAATTTGTGGATCACACAAAGTGTTGTCCCGTGCGGGAATCGAACCCGCGACACGTTGCACGGCAGCCGGTTGCCCAGCTACCACACTAACCGTGCAGAATTTGTAGTGAAAAATATACTTAAGCGCGATTTATAATTGAGTAGCGTTGGAATATCTCGACATAAGTCTGTTAACGTCATTAACGCGACATGCAGTTGTTTAGAAACTTACCAAGAACAACATCCTTTGTTGCAATCCTCTAGAAGAATGTTTGTATACGCAGCCCATTCTTACAAATTCACGCTCTGCCACTAATAACTTATCGTAACCTGTAACGAAAACAAATCATTTTAAATCCGTAAAAACATAAATTAACTAAAATCGCGGGTTACTCACGTGAATATACTGAGAAAAGCTCTACTAGTTCTACTAGTTCGCGACGCAAGTAGCAACACGAACGCCAACGACAGCCAGTGAGCTGCGCGACATCGCCGCGACCGAGCACGATGCTCATGAGAACCCCTCTGTGGTTCGAAACTAGTAGAGCTTTTCTCAGTATATTCACGTGAGTAACCCGCGATGTTAGTTAATTCCGTAAAAACATATTTCAGAAATATGAAGGTTATTTTGATTCCCTAATCCTACCTCTAGAATAAAATATATATTAAGATTATCGGGAAGCATTCACTAATATTATTAAAGACTACAGCGATACTCAAAATAGTTTGCAATAGGGTTGTGGACAGTGTATGAAAATTAAAAATGTAATTAGTGCGTCCGTTAGGTAATGAAAAAATACATAACATCACGTTTTTTATCCTTGAAGGGGTAGGCAGAGGTGCACATTATGCCACTGTACAATGCAATATTCACTTTTCACTATTTATGTTATGAGTCCCGTGTAATAGGGAGTGAGTTTATTGTGTGAAAAAATATTAGACACATATTTTTTTATTTTGTCGTATTAGTAAACAATACTTAGATAAAACTAAGTTAAGTTTAGGAGTGGGAGATTGTTATGTTACGGTACCCTATAAAATGTAGTAATTTGTGACGTCACATGATATTTCAAATCAATACAATCGTCGAAAGTATTTAATTTTGTAAGAAAATAAAAAATCCATGTGTAATGTTTAAAATTAATGTACCAGAAGGACATTAAAATAAAATTTTGAATACAACCCTGTTGTTCGGTTTATGATAAACTTCTTAAGAAGAAGACAATTGTTCAATACGGCAAGTACCTATAATGGCTGGCGATGATAATGAACATTAAACGTTACCCGCGAGGTCCCGCTGCAGCTGACAGAGCGCGGCGTGGTTCTCCCCGTGCTGCAGCTGGGCGCGCGCCGCGCCCCACACGCGCGCGCTCAGCTCCAGCGCGCCCGCCGCGCCCGGGCTGGGGCAGCCACTGTACAGCTCTACGAGATAAACATCATATTTAAAATACACTTTAACTAAACATAAAGACTTCTATCACTTAGTACTTTATCATAAAAATACAATTCTGGACACACAGAGTTTAGGTTTCGATGGCCCCTACCGAAATATGATTTGCTAGATTGAACAAAAACTGTTGATGCATTTTTAAACCTGATACATTTTACCATCTTTTTCGATCGTACTTTTTTAAATTTGAATTCAGAATACCATACGACATGGAGCTACGCCTAACAAATCGGATATGCGCCTTGTTAAAGGCAATTGATTTTTGAATAAAAATATGTTTTATCAAATAAAGGTATAATTAAATAACTGGTGTTGCCTCCATGAGCATCTACCACAGCTCTCATACGATTAGGCATAGAGTTTATCAACCGCTCTATGAAATTTTGAGGGACCATCTTTTTTTTAATGGGACAAGCCCGCAACAACCTCCCACATGTGCTCAATGGGGTTCATGTCTGAGCTTCTGGCTGGCCAGTCCATAACTGTGAAGTTCACATTCCAAAGATATTCCCTGACGATGCCGGCCGCATGAGCTCTTGCATTATCAAGCATAAAAAGGAAATTTGGGCCCACATAGGCCGCGTAGTCCACGTATGGTATCACGTGAGGTTCTAAACACTCACGAATGTACCCTTCAGCATTTAATGTTGGCAGCCGTGGTCCTGTAACAACCTCAAGTGAGTTTTGCCCTCGCGGATATACCGCCCCAGACAGTCCATAAGCCACCGCCATAAGCAACCCTCTCTTCAAAGCAGCATTGGGCAAAACGCTCTCCCTTACGTTGGTAGACCTTCTTCCTTCCATCATTGCCATATAACACAATTTTAGACTCATCAGAAAAGAGTATACGGCTCCAATCTTGCTGTGTCCAATTTAAATGACTGCGTGCGAAATGAAGGCGCGCTGTTCGGTGGGCTCGCGTTAGTTTGAGCCCATTAGCTGGCTCGTGTGGTACCATATCGCGTTCTTTTAACCTTCTCCGAACAGTTCGAGCGCTCACAGATACTCCGTGGAAGTCGCGAAGTTGGTTTTGTATCTCAATGGAGGTAAGGTGACGAATTCTCCAGCTGGTTGTCACGATGAATCGATCCTGCCTTTCAGTTGTGACCCGAGATCGTGGCCTTCCTTGGCGACGAACAAAGCCGCCAGTCTCTAGGTACCTCCGATAAACATTTCGGACCGCTGATCGACTTCAATTAGTTGAGCACTTACGTTTCTTTGGCTGTGTCCGGCCTGAATAAGTGCCACAGCTTGGGCGGCGACTTCAGGTGAAGTATCCATAGATTATTGATAGAACCTCACCTTAATGTTAAGAATAAGTAATTTTTGTTGCAAAACCAAAGATATCAATCACCTTTTTAAGAATTAAATCCAAGTAAACCAATAAAACCAAGTTTTCTTAGTATTCGATTGTTTAATATCAGCAAACAGGCTCCAAATTGTCTTATGTTTCTTTAAATTCTGTGTTCGAAATTCAAAAAAAGACTATTGAATGAAATTGTGAATGTGCCAGGTTCAAAACTGCATAAAAACTTTTTGCTCGACCTAATATAAAATTTTAGCTAGGACTAAACGAAACTGAAAATACAAGGTGGGCCAATAGATGTGTCCTGAAGTGTATAAACTATTTTTAAAACTGTATCATGCTATAACTAGAACTCAGTATGACTATATTTTCTGATATTTTTTCATTAGAACCATCACCACGGGTGTTCATCCACACAGTTTAATAAGTCAATGAAATAAACAAATTATAAAAATAATCCCGTATTTGCGAATGAAGACTCAAAGCTTTTGAGTACTTACGTATTCACAATACCAAAAACCTAATACGACCAACAGCGATAGCCAGTGTATACTTTATAAATTGAATAATGATCAGTAAGTACATACCATCAGCAAGTCGGTGATAATGCAGTGCTCTATGCAGCGGCCTTAGCAACAATGCAGCCAATGGTAGCGGCGCCTTCGAGTCAAACAACGCGGCCGCGCGACCTGCTTCATTCCCTCTCCGACGTACACTTTCCACTACACCTACTAGGGACCCAGCGCGGGAACTGTACCATAGGTACGCCTACAGTACAAAAAAGAACATATTACAAAGTTTGCGCAACCCGTTTGCGCAATGACAAGTTGTGAAGTAATTTTATGCGCTAATAGAAAGTAATAAAGATTGTTTTGAATGCCTATATATCTTTATGCAAAATAGTCAATGTATTACTACTTGCGCAAGTTGATAAAAAGTGGTAGACAAGGGTACTTACGTCCATTGTACTTAATAAATGTTCGTACAAAACATCGCCGATTTTCTTATACTCAGGTTCCTCTGTATCTGTAAAGAAAATCATACAATTAATATCAGATTTTTAGACACGTCACCCTTTTAAGCTTTTTTGAGGAAGAAAAATCATCCAATGACTTCTTTCGCCTGAGTGAAACGAGAGGGAGTGTCAGACTCTTACTGACTAAAAACCACCCCGTTACTACTCCTGAACTTCGAGCCGGAGCCCCGGTAACCCGTTAAGTCCTCCGCGGCTCCGTATCGGCATCAGCCTTATTGGGCCCCATCCGTGGTGTCTGATGGCTCTTTGAGGCGCGGAACGCTCGGTGCCGTGAGCGTACGGCACCGAGGGTCTGTTTCTGGTCGGGCGGCGAGCCACCCATGCTCGCCGTCCGCAGGCCGGATGTTCGTTCCCTCACGCGCCCCGTCTCCTCTTTAGCTAGTATATCCTTTTAGGCTAGCAGCAGCTTCAACCTGAGGTTATTACTTCAAGGCATAGAAACGCACCTCAATAGACCCAATCACAATGATGTTATTAGAACGTTTTGTTGTTAGTTAAATGCATATTCATTGGAAACATTAGAAATGCTTTCAATTTAATAATAATAAAGTATTTACCATTAGCATCAGGTCGTGGTGCATTAGCCAGTAGTCTGTCGAGTCTTGCGAGTAACTTCCCATTACTGAGCGCGAGTGGTTCCAGTGCGAGGCAGGCGCGCGCTAGCGCGGGCCCAGACTCCGCGCCGCCCGCCGCCAGCTCTGATACACTGCTACTCCATTTCTGTACACAAATATAACATTCTAGTGTTAAATATTACTTCATCATTAACTATTCAAGAAGGGTTGAAGAATAAATAGATTTTATTGTAAAATATATAACTGTTTAACTTTTGTATTTATTCAGCCAGCGCTATTTCAATAGTTTTCAGTAGTCACTGAATGTTTTAATGACCTGTTATATAAAATCAATACCTACACTTAAAAACTACAGCCCAACTTATAGCTATCCAAAAAATAACTATTATATTTATTTAGTGTTTTCAACCATTAATGAAAGTGTTTAAGTAAAATAAATAGAAGTCCTTCAAATAATAATACTTACAACAGTAACAAGTTCTAGATCCCTCTTGTAAGTTCTCTCAGTCATCAGTAACTCCTTCGCCACGAAGTACGTGATGTCGTTGTTGCGCTTCCTGGGAGCGTCACCGACCTCGCGCAACGTTCCCAACATACCGGACGATATACTACGACAAAAAAGCAATATTCATAAATAATATTCACAAACTCTTTCTGGTTTTCTTCTGTCTCGGATCCTCCAAGACAGTAATTTATGTTCCTGGGACTTCAGTGTTTCGGTGTTTTGATGACTGAATCTATGTAGATCCTGGCAAACAGGAGTTGCAGCAATTTTAGGAACTTGTCTCTTGTACCATGAAAGTTTCATGACTATAAATGGATTTAAAGTCGCGTGAAAATTATACTAATAAAACGTGGAAGTGATGGGACAAATATCTTGTTATAATGGACACACACATATTGTAACATGCTATTAACAATAACATGTCATGGAGACACTTCGCGACTTAGGCCAAATCATCGCTTATGAACAGGCGAACTAGTGGTCAAACGTCAGTCCCATCTAATATAAAAAAAACTTCTAATTGAGTGGCGTTTGAGTATTTGGACATTCCTGTGTTATGTTTTAAAATAAACAATCTTACCTATTATTATTCCGCCTCGAAAGTGTATCCCCGGCGTCGCTTTCCCCACCGCTGAGCACGTCCATACTGTTCACGGACTCCGAAACTATAGTCACTGAGGACAATAGAGTCATTATTGTACTTAACCATTGTAAGTAAAGCAATAGTAGTTTATTAACAATAGCACATTATGCAGTTTTAATGATAATAATTCTAACTTGAATGATTTGATTGCAGATTGCAAGGCAATATCTATAGGTCACTTTTAGGATGATAAAGAGAAAGATAAAGAAAATTTTATTTTCCAAACCCACTTATATTACAAAAAAGGTGTCCAGACATAAATTATACAAAATTGTGAGTAGGTTAATTTATAGTTAACGATTTTCTCGTAAAATGTTTAGGAAAAGAGTTATTGGTTAGGTGCCGTAATATGTATCTCTGCCTATCCCTTCGCGGATACAAGGCATGATACTATATTATTTAAAAAAACTCACCATTAACATTTCCATTAACAGTATCATTATTGTTTTCACTGATCCTCTTATTGTCAACTACATCGTGTCCGTTCGTCAGCTGTTTGGACACGAGCGGCGTCGACGCGAATATCGGAACACCCGCTATACTGTGGTCAGTGACCGATGTTGGAGACATGCAGAGACTTGCTGAAGACACAGTGTTATCTTCCTCGGGCGATGTTTCGTCTGTTGAGGAGAAAACAGGTTAAATAGTTGTATTGTGACGTCAGAATGGAAGGTGCATTTAAGTAGTATTTAAGTTCTGATTAAATCGCATTGATTTTCAAGATATTGAAGATGATATTCAAGATATTGGTATATAGGCTATGTAATGTTCTACTATTCGTAGTTCGGACGTATGTTGTCAAGTTAAACTGTCAAACACCAAGCGGTCACCGGTGACCGCAACCTATTGTTCTATAATTGTGTCTACAAAACCGGTACTCGACGAGTTAAAATACATCATACTACTCAAAAACGCTTTCCATTCTGATTGGAGATATTATCTATTAGGAGAAAATAAAATATATTTATTCAATTACAAAAGTAAAGGGATCACTATAATAAATAATCATGAAAAGTTTGAATAAAAAAAAGTTCTAATAGGTAAATCAAATAATATCTTAAACAATAATGGGGGAGGATAGCATGCAGGGAAAAGCAAAATCTGTGAACAAAAGAAAACCCCTGGAAAAAATATAATTCACAAACAAAGAAATAATTATAAGGTATAACTGAAACAAACAAAATTAAAAACATAAACACAGTACTTGTATAATAATAAAAAAAATCAAAAAGGATATAATTTATTGAACTTCGACAAATACGTTTAAAAAATTCTACAAATACCGCTTCTACGAATTCGTACGTAAAATTTTAGCGTTGCATTAGTCCTAAACAAATAATAATTTAATTTTAATAACATGCATATTATGACATTCCTTTGTCGAAACTCAATAACAAACAATCTATTGTGGTATCCCATGGAATGTGGAAAAATTTATCATAGGTACCGTCAACCACTAAAATCTCACCCAAATATGTACTTAATGTACGATGTATTAAAGAATTTTTGGAATAAATTGTCCCAACAGTCACAGAATACTACAATATTAATTAAAACTTACATGAAATATCCTGGCAGCTTACAAAAAAGGTACAGACGACACAGATAATAAAAAGATTTTTTTGTAATTTTATTTATTTATTGTTTAACTATCCCCGTTGAGGCGGGGCAGTGCCGTGTATTGCAGGACACAGTACACTCACACTCACATATAAATTCAAAAAACGAAGTAACGTTTCAATAATCGAAACAATATTTTTAAATTACATGACTTAATTTTGCTTACGCTTCGAATGGTACTGTAAATGAGGTTTTTTAAAGGATAGATTTTAACCCGCTTCGTATCTGCTGAAGGTGGCGTGTTATACGACTATTGCGAGACCCGTCGCGAACTATTGGGTCATTGTGTGATGCTATTGTTTAATAATTAAGTTCTTCCTGTTATTGATTAAAGAATACCTAGAACTTAAAATCTTAACTAAAAATCGCGCAGGCTGCGCGACGTCGCCGTGACCGCGCACGTTGCTCATGACGAAGAACCCCTCTGTGGTTCGAAACTAGTAGAGCTTTTCTCAGTATATTCACATGAGTAACCCGCGATTTTAGTTAATTTTGTATGTCTCACGATAGTTATCAAAAACTTAAAATCTGCTACCCGCGATAAAACGAAATGAATGGACTTAACGATTAACATTACGTTCTGCCTATCAGACACATAGCACACAACAAAATAGTCACATTAACCGGAACAGATCACGTAAATAGTAAAAAAAAAACTATTATTTTTTAAAATTAAAACAGCGATAAGAAACACCACAACATCGTACGCGCCACAAAAAGTTTAAATGTGCACATCAATTTATGTGAATAAGTGGAATACCCCTTAAAATTAATAAAATAATTCTGCAACTAAATTACGATAATTTTTTAGATATCTTGTCGTCGACATTTTGATAAAAGCGCGCATCGCTATAGAACTTTTGCCTGGAGTAATAGGTGTCGTTTTAAATCATTTTGAAAACTGTTAAGTTCCTCTGAAATCAATATAATTTCATCGTTCACAGTACTCGATCGAAGCGTTCGCTCAAACTTAAACAATTTAATGGAATTGTAACATTACAGTCTATTCGGATTGTACAATTTTAATCGAAAAGTCGAAATACTTAAGATCTAAGATTTTTATACCATAACGTACAGTTATTGCGCTAACTAGGGAGGTCCGTACGCCCTCTTTACGCTAGTAGACTAAAATTGCTTCGTGCACACACGACCATTTAATCTTTTAATTCAATTATAATTGAACACTATGTAGCACAGGGTTTATAGGATAATAGTTTGAATATTACCTCTTTACTGGTACGCAACTAATTACATTGTACGCTACAATTCTCTATTCTTGTCAATACTTGTAATTTCAGTCATTGAGTCAAATAAAATCGTTCAATAATAAATATATTCGAAAAAGCTCCAACTTTACTCCCTATAACATTAGTTGCGTATCAGTAAAGTTGATGAAAAACATTGTAAACACTGTAAAGGGTTCGATATAGCTAAAATTTTCATAAGTTAAGGTATATTTTGCAAATAAATATAAAAATTTCTACAATACACTGGCCTTCCCAGTGTATAACGTAAAATATATTTGTTTAAAACATCAGCATTATTATTTATGTAAAATATTTTACTATGAAACAACAAAATAGTGTTATACAGGGTGTTGAAATTAAGATTGCTTGGCAACACACACGTTATGTGCTATGTGATAGAATTTTGTGTGCGTAATACAAATCCTCTAGTACCATAGTTAGCATAAACTATCATTGATACTTCAAGTCATTCCAAGCTTCATAATTCCAACACCTGCATACAATTAACACATAAGATAATTTGTACGTCGATATATAAAACAAATCTACCACATTAAATATGGAACAGAACTGACGAGTGACGAGTTACTATGATATAATAATATATATAATATAATCATCATTATACATACTCCACTTAACACGACAGCCTTAACTATAACTCTACATTCTCAAAAGAAAATCTCACGACTACACTGACACACAATTCGTCTATTTTTCGATCATAATTTATTCCTATCTAATTATAATATTATGAATAAACTGGGTACTAAGTACGACTTATTCGTACGTTAACGAGATCGACACGTTACCGTGTTCAGCCCTCTGATTGGTTGGGTTATTTAGAGCAGCCAATCAGAGCGTCGAACGTCATAAACGCGTTAACCGTGTTAACGTCAAACAAACTCGTACTGGGCTCTCTGTAGGGAATAGCATTCATTTTGGCAAAACAGGAGAATTATGTATTGCTAATTCAATTGCGCGTTTAATCTTAACATAAGGGAGTATAGGCTTTTGTTTATGCACATTTAAAGATAATAATTTGGGTGAAACAAACAATATTGAAGAATGAGCTGTGAGCTATTTAAAATATAAAAAATATTGTTACTTTATTGAATTGTTTTTACAGGAACAGTTCACAGGAAGTCTTAGGAATAGCCAGGTAATTTTTTCCATAATTTCCATCAAAATGTCCCTCAGTATGTGTAGCAACAGAACTTAAATTCGAAATGTAATTTGCAAGAGTTATATTTTCGAAAAGCTTTGTTTTTTAATTAGTAGCCAGAATGATTTTCTAATTACTTCGATGACTATGAGAGTCATAGTCGATGACGACTAAACTTCTTTATAAATTATTTAAATTAAAAAACGCAGTCATTAACTTCGATGATAGTCAATAAAACAGCGCTAATAATACACACGACACGTTCTCGTAACCACATCTATTTCAACTACAACTTTTTAATATCCCCAAAATTCATTATTAAAAAAGTTTACAATAAAATTATGCATAATAAAAAGTGTTGGAAAAAATTGAGCATATTTGGCACGAATGCAGATCCCGTGTTGTAACAACTAGTGTGGTGTCATGGACAAAGATAAAACAACTATAAAACTAAATAACGTGCTAAATGCAATAAATAATACTTTGATCGTTTGAGCAGTAAAACGCCTAAACAGAACTCAGATCTTGGATCTCATCACCATACAAATTAAATCACAGCCTTTACAATAATACTATTTTCAGGATATTTTTATCAACGAATATAACTTTTATAAAGGTTGAAAAGACTAAAATATACGACTAGAAGACGTTGGCACTACGTTCTTATACCTGTATTGCATTTCCTCGAAGCTTTAGCTCTAGGGACTAAACAAACTATAAAGTCACGCGTATAGGGGACAGTTACAAATTCAAGTTTACATTATATTCATCAGATTCCGTAAGAGAGACGTCTGGAAATGTATAATTTAGATCAATACACATATAACTACACCTAAATACTTAACAAGCTATAGGTATGAGTTCGCGTTCACACGATAGTCAAAAGGGTCGCGCTATCCAGGAATCGGCACTAGATATTTTTAATTCATTATTTTGCTAAATATTCAAAGTGACAATGTAAATATTCAATATAATGAGTACCCTAATAACAATAATTGCATTAATTTGAATTTAAATTTCGAAACGCTAACCGGCCGGCACACTCGCATTCCAAAGAGTGAACGTTCAGCCGACGAGGCGAAGGGTGACAACGACCAAACTAAATATAATACGAAATTACACTGCAAACTACGATTTAGTTTAATCATTTTCGTCATCAGAGCAAAGAGGCGGGGGCAACGTGGAGACGTCGAACTTTTGCTCGGGACTGTCGCTAGAAGCTTGTGAGTCGACGTAGTGACTAGAATAGAACCTCTCTACATTATTCAGACTGAAACGTTGGTCGAGATCTCGAGCGTAATGTTCCTGATTGGCATCCCTACTCTCGTCGAGATCGTGCTCGTACTGCGGGTAACATTCCTGCGTCTGGAACATCACTACCTCTTCGTAATGTTCCGGATACGGGCTGCCTCTGTACTCCTCATATTCATCTTTATCATGAGGCAGCTCCGTGTCGGAGTACGCTACCGACTCTCCGCGCTCAAATAAGTAACTGCCAGATTTTGACATTTTGGGAGCGCGTTTTATAGTATCAATTGGGTAAGCGTAGTCGTCGGAGTCATCTCGGTCACTTTGTTCTTCGTAGAACACTATCTGTTGATGCTGACCAGATGGCTCGCCTAAAGATGGATCATCAGCCTGGCGATAGACTGTCGTAGACTTTGACTTCTTCAAAGAGGATTGGCGGCTGCTCTTGTTCGAGTATGAAACTCTAGGAGGGCTGTCCTCTGATACATAAGGAGGCTCCTGAGAATCGAGATATGGATGCCGCAAACGACCAAGTCTATCGAACCGTGGGAATCCCATTTCATCCTCGTCGGCCGAAGATCCAAAGCCCTGAAATTGCATTGGAGCAATATTTATCGGGAATTGCTGTGCTTCATAATTTGCACTCTTATACTTTTCGTATTCATCTTGTCCCTCATCCTCAGAATAACTAGCTTCCTGAACGTCGTAATGCTTAGAATCACCTTTCGACATTTCTGAGGAACCAGATTCTACTTCAGGCACATAGCTGTCAGAGCACTCCGAGCTCTCCATACGGCGTAAAGATTCTTCCACGGCCAGGTACTTGGCACCAAGCATATCGCTTTCTGAAGAATATTGACTCTTCGTCGAATCTTCCTCCAGCACATCTTGGATCCTCTCCTGCCTCTTACGTGCACTTGTGACTTGTTTCTTTCGGCGGAAAGTCTTCATTCTCTCCCGAGGATCACGTATCACATCCAATGAGCTATCCGTGTCGTTGCCACTCGGAGGACTCTTTAAAGAAATATTACGAACGAGTAGTGACTTTTTGACAGGCGCCTTCAATGGCTGTATCGGAGGAGATTCTGAGCTCAGACTGCTAGAATAATAAGGTGAACAGCGAGATAAAGGAGTTTTCCCTGACCGTTCAGCCGATCTTTTCTCTGAAAGTTCCCTATGCACGGAAGGTATTTCGGGAACTGCGATTATTGGTAGTTCAGAGGAAGCAAGATAATGTTCATGGAAAGACCAGCTCTTAGGCTTGCTACGATATTGTTGAGACGTTTTATATTCTTTAATCTGATTCTTAGACAACGTCTTATCATCGTAACTCGCTTGTTTAGCCAACGGTTTGTAATCCGACCGTATGAATTTACTGCTTGTCCCTTCTTCTCGAATTATGTTGGAAAATTCTTGACTCTGATAACGTTCGCTATGTTTTTCCTCCTGACTGTACAGTTGTGATGGCATGTCTATGTCAAGTTCTGGCTGTTCACTTACAAAGTACGGTTTGAAGCCACTGTCTTCACTCTGGCATCGCTTGGTAGTCTTTGAATACCTGTGCGTCTGTTCTTCATAGCTCATACTTTTTGATGGTACCTTTGGGTAGCGCTCGTGAGTCTCATCTTGTACAGGAAAACTTTGTCGGTGATCAAATCTCAGAACTCCATTAGCATGTTTCTGCAGGCTACTTAGTGAGCTGGATCTTGACTTGTCTGATTTATCGCTGTAGCTTATTGAAGATGATTTATCAGTTTTGCCGGTATATGATGCAGTCAGTCTTAGTACTGGTTCTTTTGCTTCCTCGATTTCCTTTGTTGGAGACAATACTTTGGTTATAATAATTTCCGTGTCAGGTTTTTCTTCAGCATTTCCAGGATCTCTGACAATGGTGTCATCAGATTTAGTGTTGTCTGCTTCAGCTTGGTCATCCCGAGCTGTAGCAACAAGTGTGTGACTGGTACTAGCAGACCAGTCTGATATTGACTGAGCTAATGTCAGAGTACTGTCACTCTTGGTACCTGAGCTACTATCCATTCCCTTCCTAGAAATTGTTGTGTCTGAACTGCATAATTTATCATATTTAATGTTGTCAGAGCTCTTATCTAAACTGCTGCTTTTTGAACTCATCTCTGCTTGAGACCCCAGTTTCAATTTCTGTTCACTTTTTTTACTCCCATGTGATGACGAATACACTTTAGAAGCTTTATCAGACTTGTCACTCTTAGGCACCGAAACGGCTGAAATACTTTCAGAAGCCGATAAATTTGCATACTGGCGTACTGTGTTAGTACCAGTAGACCATTCAGAAATACTTAGACAGATGGAAGTGTCCTCTGAATGCGAGCTGTGAGTGCACTTCTTTTGAGGCAGTCCAATTTTAACTGTTCCATCCAAGTCAGTTCCAAATGAACTAGTTTCTTCTTCTGAATGGCTGCTATGACTGCACCTCTTACAAGTACCAGCACTTCCAGTACTTAATTTCGTTACAGCACGAACAGTGTCCTCAGCATTAGTCTGTGACAACAGATCATCTATAGACGTATCTGAATTGTTCGAACCGAATGAATATTTTTGTGTACCAAGCTGAGAAAATCCTTTATCGAAATCTGGAGATAGAGATTTACTTTCTCCTCCTAATACATCATCAGCGTACAAGTGATCGTCCTCGAAAATCGGTCTGTGATTAGTAGGCGACTTCTGTGGCTGGCTTATTATAACCTTTTCTTCCAAATTGCTTTTTATATTGAAAGATTTATGTTCAGCTCGTGAACAACACGAACCCACATCGCCCATAAGGCAAGTCGCCTTACTAATCGTTCCACTAAGGCACGATTTATCGTACTTAGGCACCACGCTTTTATGACAAGTGTATTCATCTTGCTTCTCTAAAGGCTCCACCATGTAGCCCGATTGCTCGTAAGGAATCGGCTTGATGTTTTTAGGTGAAATATCTTCACTTATTTCTGCAGACTTCTCCGATTTTGACTCGGGAATATCTTTTTCCAAATCTTCGTCATTATTCAAGGTATCGCTATCGTCGTCTGATCCCGCCAATTGATCTTTTGAACTTTCCGACTGCAAAGTTACTTTAGTGGGCTGTTCTGGCTCGTTACTCATGTAGTAGATGTGAACTTTCTCTATAATAGGCGTCTCTAATAAGCTTGAAGGAAGAGAAGGCCACTGGTCAAAGTCGCTCGATTCTTTTCTACCAACTTCATCCAAATGTGCAGGTCTGCTCGCCGCTTGTGGTGGTAGCTCAGGCAAAGGCCAATCTTCAGACTCTTGACTCTCGCTGGCAGAAGATGCTTTCGATGGTGCCTTGGGTGTAACCGACCCTGGCTTACACGGACTACCATTAGACCTCTTAGATTCCAAGGCGTCAAAAGCCCGACTAGCTTTCTCGACATCTCGCTTCGATTCGTACATCTCACTAATTTTAGTTTGGTCTATCGGTATGTCGGGCATCTCTGCTGACGTACGTCTGTCTGCGTCTGATATGTAGGCAACATTCGCATTACTAGGCGGATCAGAGCTAAGACTAGCTTGATGATCACTAGAATTAAGAGATTCTTCGTTTATACTTTCAGATCGAGAACAAGCTTTGGTAGAATCTTCATCCGCACTAGTTTTTTCGGACGCCGTGCTGCGTTCTGATATGCGTGACAAAGTTCGACCAAATGTTTGTCCATAGCCTATTACGACATCCGAAGTATTACTAGACGAAGTAGCAGGATACAAGAAATTGACTGGGAAATCATTCAAATCATCTGTAAAGTCAGCATCCGTAGAATCTTTAGACGTGTTAGCAGACAATGGTGGATTTTTCGAGAATGTTTGGAATTCGTCAAGCATCCTTTGGTTGTTATATTCGAAAACATCCTTATTAATCGCCAGATTCTCATAACCCTCATGATCTTGTGGGATCCAAGCTTCTTCAATGCTCGTGCTATTTTCGCTACCAGAAGCACCAAAGAAGGGTCTCCACGTGGGCTTCAATTCTTCACCTCGGCGATAAGCTTCACCGAGAGATCCAGAAGTTGATTCAGTTGTTTCAAATGACCCACGTGATTCAACACTAAGAGATCCTCTAGAATCCATACTTGATTTAGATGAACTTTTCTGATCATCAAGAAGACGACCCTTTCTCCTAGATGAGGAGTCATCGACACTGAGTGATCCCTTAGAAGGAGTAGTTGTTGTTGTGGTATCAACACTTGATTTCGATGAACTTTTTTGATCGTGGTCTTTAAGAGCCCTCTTTTTCATGATATCTCCTCTCTCGAAAGATGACGTTATAACATTTCCATCGTCATCAAAATCAATAGTAGTGTTTTGATCTTCTTGTGAAATAGTGATGGCAATTTTAGTTTTCTTGACCGTTTTTTGTAATTCTTTAGCTGCATCAGAAACTTTGGAGGCAGCTGATTGACTAGATTCTGATTCCTCTATAACAGCTTTGCCTATTTTATCTAGGCCACTCTTTTTAATATTCGGCCGTGACAATTGTTCCACAGTTCTGTCAATACTTTCTGAGCTTGAATCAGAGTCTGTAGGTGCTTTCTGTGAATCCACTTGGCCTTGCTTTTCTAAAGTCGGGGTAGGTGACTTCCTTGTACCGTACTTTGATGGACTCCTCGGACTCTCAATACGAGTAATTTCCGGAATTGGTGAAGGCGATTTAGAATTAGACTTAGAGTGGTCGCTAGATAGCGTATGTTGGGACAGCAAATGTTCTTCTCCATATTCCATCGCCTGTTTCAGCTCTTCTAAGCATTCTCGATCCTTTTTGTTCAACTTTTCGATGTCCTGCGAAATTCCTAGAGGCCTTGCAATAGAACAACTGACACTCGATTCGTCGTCAATAGAGCTGCCCTTAATATGACTTGATGGACTAACGTCTTTCTCAATGCTGGTCCAAGAAGTAGATTCGGAACTTCGAGAACGCTCTGCACTTAATTTCAAGAGTTCACTACGTCTTGACTTAGCTGTCAACAATGTTCGTTGATCAGGTTTCTGTTCTGTAGGAGACTTATCACTGCCAGAGCTACCGGTGTGTTCCCCTTCAGATTTATTTGACTTCGAAGTACTGGAATCAATAAATGGTATATTCTCAATCGTAGGACTGTTTTCTTGTGGAGGCGTCACGATTATCTTATTCTTATTTTTCCATTTCATTGACAAGTCTATGGTCTTGGGCGGCTCGCGGCCCATTTTACCACCACGTTCAGTTTCACTGTCTGACATAACTTGTGACATGGATTCCTGTTTTAAGAACTCCATCAAGCTAGCTGATGATTCGTCAAACGTGCCTTGTGGATCTAAGGTCCTTCTGCCACGAGTTTTACTACTAGCATCAGAAAGCGGTAACTCAGTATCTAAAGTTGTTTCTTCGTAGTCAACCGTAATCCAAGATCCAGAATCATCGCTCATACCGCGAGGAAGTTTAGTTTTCTTCTGATCTTGATCTGACGAACTGTCAGCATCAATGTAAGGCAAAGATATTCCAAGCATGTGACTTTCATCAGACACCTTCAAATCGCTAACTTCAGTAAGAGATTCTTCTTCGCTAGTCAAACGAGTAACTTCTGCTTTACGTTCTGCAGTTACTAATGAATGAACATCTTGATTACTCCTACTTTCTTGTAATTCAGTCTGCCTCTGTTTGTTGTAAATATCCATCTTACGACGTTCCATAATAACGGTTTGTGTGTCGTTCTCAATGATCGTATGTTGTGAGCTAGTCATCCATTCCATTGAAGAATCATCTTCAGTCTTTTCTTTATAGCTGTTCGATGGTGATGTCTCTTTTACCTCTTTCTCTTCAACCTCTTTTGGCAATATTTCTGGTTCTTCTACAACTGTCGGATGAACATCTACTTTCACGACTTCTTGCTTGAAGTGCTTTTCATTCTCTGGTAACATTGATGCAGGTGTTACGTAATTTCGATCTAAACTCTTCGATTTCGCTTGAGAGTCCAAATGAGCTTCCACTTTTCTGTCCAAACTCTTAGATTTAGCTCCAGGACTTATCTTTTGTTACACAACTTTGCCTTCGATCTGTTGCTTTATTTCCTGCTTTTTAGACAGTGTCTTTGGTGACTTCTGTAAAGCAGCAAGATCGTCAAATTTATCTTCCAATGATGGACTAGATTTATCATCCATGCTCTTATTCAATTTGCTTGGAGTTTTAGCAGTTTTCTGATCTTCGAAGCTACGACTTATTTTCCCAGTAAGTTTGTTATCTAACTTCTTAGGAGATTTGGCTATAAATACATGATCTTCGGCCTTGCTGTTGATCTTAGTCTCAATGATTATTTTGTCGCCTTCAGTTTTGACAACGATCTTATCTTCTGGCGGTGGGAATGGCGGCATGGTGTCTTTAACCGGACTAATTAAAGTCTTAGTTTGCTTCAAGGCTGCTTCAAACAACATCTGCTGTTTCTCTTTACGTTTAGCGATTTCTGTATCACTGTCTTCTTGGGATTTGGTTCTTTCCTTGCTATTGCCACGTTTAATATCCATCTTCTCTAATGACTTGGATTTTTCTTTAGCTATTTTCTTAGCTGATTGTTCTAATTCCTGGCTCTTAGCCCGGGCCATATCAAGTGGAGGCACAGTTAAGAAATCTGGTCGCTCCTTTAGAGAAGATGGCAGTGACTTTTGAGTTTGAAGCGCTTTTACTTTAGTAGCATTCGTGTCTAGAGAACCTCCTTTGTTGAGTTTATTACTTATCTTCTGTTTCTCATCAGGTTTCGGCTTCAATGTTAACTTCTTTTTCTCCTTACGTTTGATTCTCTCAATATCTGGTACTATTTGATCTTCACTCAAGTCTGATAACTTCCTGATACTGCCTCTAGGTGAATTTAAAGAAGAGGTGGGTGATCGTGATGGTGACTTCGAAATCGGTGAACGCGATAGTGGCGATCTGCTTATTGGAGAGCGCGCAGCTTGAGATTTTATTTTTGACAAATCATATCTGCGTTTAAACGAACGTGGGCGTCGTTGTTCAACCAAGTCTTCCAACAACTGCAATTCTTCATTATCTATAACAACAGACTTCAGTTCCTCAGGCTCTGCATGTTGTTCTTCTTCAACCTCTTCGATTTTGTCAATAGTTTCTTTCTTTATAGCTATAGGTTTACCTTTATCGTCGATCAATGGTTTCTCTTCCAATATTTCACCTTCTTCGTTAATGTCTTCAACCGTATCGTCTTTTGATGAGAACGCATTCATTGGCGGTAGTCGATGTAATTGAATAACTGGTGTGTCCAAACTTTTAGCTCTGCGGCTCGCTGTTGGTGAGTCTTGCGTCGCTTTTTGACGCTGAAGAGAAAATACTGAACCTTCAGACAGATTTAATCGAGCATGAGCAAACAATATTGGAGTCCCACCAGGTTTACGTAACATTGGTGATATTAATTCATCTCTTAGACTTTTCTTTACATCTAATTTATTGGAATCTTTTTTATCATCTTTAACATCAGGTTTATCATCAGACTGAATTCCTGTCACTTTCTGAATTTCCATATCAGCTAAGTGTTCATCATCAGATTTGAGAAATTCAGTACTTTCTAATATCGGTGAGGGAATGTTTTCGTTGTACTCCCACGGTGAACTCTCTTTACTCGACTGTTTCACTTCTGTAAATTTTATAGCAACGTCGTCTTCAGAACTGGGAATTGAAATAGAGCGTTCTGAAATTCTACGTAATTCTGTAGCGTTACCACTCATATTGTCAAGAACTTGAGGGTTGTATTTCGCTTCCAACTCCGCCAACTTTCTGCATTGAGGCGGTGAGCCTTCAATTTCCGTTGAGCTCATAGTCTGACCTCTGTGCCAAGCTCCTGAAGTGATTTTATCATATTCCAATTGCAGAATAGGTTCTAAGTCTTTACGAGATTGTGGTGGTGAAAACTCGAGTTTGGGAGCCGCTTCAGTCGTACCGAAAACATCATCAGAATCAACGCTTTCATCATCAGATGAAAATGAAGTTATTCGGATCTTATTATTACTTTTCCCTTTTATTTTACTTCCAGTTCCTTTCTTCCCAGTGCCTCTGGCTTTTTGACCACGTTTTGGTGGAAGTTTTTCCGATTTCGATTTAATATCTGCCCGTAATTTTTCAGCTGCTGTCAAAGGCTTTGGGTCCTTACAAATAGGTGGTTGCGATACATTGCGGCCGTTGATCGTGAACTTTATGTCACAAGGGTATATAGGCTCCTGTCTAATGCTTTCAGTCTTAGAGCTTGTTGCTGAATCACTCTCTATCTGACTTAGCTTAGAATTAAGTGTCTCGAGCAGAACAGGATCCAAGTTTTTGGTAATATCCCTCTTAGGACTTGGCAAATGTTGTAATTGGCCACTTTTATCTACTTCTAATGTCACTGGGTCTACTTTAGACAGATCAATATTTTGTGTGAACAAGAAGTCACGATTTTCAACTTCCAGGAACTTGGACGTATGCTCCACTTGTATACTATTTCGTGGCGATTTCGGAGACTTAGGCGATTTCGGTGATTTTGGTGATTTTGGCGATTTAGGAGACTTTGGCGATTTGGGCGATTTTGGAGATTTGGGCGAACGTGGCGATTTTGGATGATCGTGGTACTTACACCTAGGGTGGGCACTGACAACATGGCGGCCGTTTTGAGGTGGAAGCATAACTATATCCGGTGGAGGCCGCTGATCTTCGTGAGGAGAAGGCGCTGTGCCATTCATTACATGTCGTTTATGTAACACGTATGGTATGTCATATCCATCGTCAACTACTTTCTTGTTATCTTTAAAACCAGCTTTAAATGCATCAAACTCTTTGAAATAGTTTTTAGGCAAGTCAAAGGGAGGACGTATATGTTCGGGTAGTCGAGATGGAAGTTCAAAGTGCGAACGTTTGGTTGCGATTGGTGGAGCACTCGGTATTTGCCGGAATATGTAGTCCTCGTCACTGGACTCCGCTGGAGTTAAATCAATCGATTTCTGATGCATTAACACATGTCTACGTGAATTGACGCTGCTAAAGCGAGGCCTATTTGCCAAACTATTTGGATCACTCTTAGTTCGTTCGACAGTCGGGTGGGTATAAGGGACCGTATTATCAGCCAGGCGGCTACTTGATCTCGTCTCTAAAATCAGTTTTGGGTTATATTCGTCAAAGTGGGTTTTTGCCATTAATTCTTCCTTCAGATTCTCTTTTCTGACAATATGAGTGTGGACTTTGCCACCACGTTTATCGAATTCTGACTGTAAAATCGAAACCGTGCCTGACTGGATAGCGGCTTGTTTGGCTTTATTTTTAGCATATTCAATGCTGTCCATTGCGGGCAAAACTCTCACATTTACATCAGATTCATTCGACGACTCTTTCACGAGATGTGATGCCGCATTCTCTTTACTGATTGACCTCGTTAATGATTCAATTTTTTCTTTATCAAAACTGAAAACAGTATCAGAAGAACGACGGCGTTGGTAACTATGTATTTTAGCTGCCCTAGTATCAATTTCAGTATCAAGACCAACAATCTTTTCGGGCCAAATATGCGTGGTTTGAGGGTGAATGTCTTCTTCCTCGGTTGACAACTCGTCTATCTTTTTAGGAGGACTCGAATCGGATTCAAACTGACCAGAAAATTGATCTAATTCTACATGTTGTAAGCTAGCAGAATGCATTGGACTTGGTTCTTTGACATGTTTACTATTGCTTGGAAAAGTGGAATAGGGAGTAGATAGATAATAATTAGGAGAATTAGCCAGATTAGCGATTAAGTCTTCATGAGACTTATCGAATAGGGTTTTCTCTCGATACTCTGGCTTTTCCATACTTATGAAAGTCGCTTGAGTGTCAAAGAAATCTTTTGTGGAATCTGGACTAGATGATGGAGATATGGGTTCGAATGGGTCTATGTAAGCGTTTTGTATACTAGTAATACTACGTCGTCTCATACTAATTTCATCAGGTTCATACAAATTCTTTTTACAATCGTAATAATCTGACTTCGAGTCTTGACTGGAAGTTCGAGATCCTGATCTATCAGAACTTTTGCTTTTAAGAGTCTCCCTAGATTTCTTACTGTCTGTGTGATAAACGCTGTCCCGCGACTTTTTGCTAGATTCGGCTCTACTTTTAGATATTTTTGAATCGTAAATGTCACTCTTCGACTCTTGGCTAGACGTTCGCGAGCCAAGTGCTCGTTTAATTTCTTTGTAGAAATTGCCATCAGAACGTACCGAGAGCTTTTCTCGAGGCAGGACTCGCGGATCATCCACAAGTAACGGATCAAGTGGGATGTCATTGCTACTGCGGTAGTGGCAGACGACTTCATCGGGTGCTCCTTCGTGGTCGTCGCTCTCTGAGAGATGCGACAAGGAGCGATCGTCGTCGGAGGGGAGGTCGTTACCTGAGTCCAACGAGCACGAGCGCGTGTGTAGCACGCTGCGCCGCCCCACCGCCTGGATGCGCGCGTAGCGGCGCGTCTCCGACTCGTCGTCGGAGCGCTCGATAACTTCGTAACTATCATGCGACAAGTCGTCTTGCGACCCCGTGCGCGCGAACGGCATGTCGAGGCGCGGCTCACCGATGGCACCTGGAAACGAAGAGGAATAGGCGCGGCCCAACAACATGGCTGCCGACTCCGCACAGCCGCGCTCGCCGAACACGAAGGCGCGCGTGCGGGCCTCGTCGTAGCGCGTCACGGGCGAGTCCAGCCGGCCCAGCGCGTCCAGGTCCGCCAGCAGCGAGCGCGCGTCGCGGCGTCGCTTGGCGCGGCCGGCCGAGTCGAAGCTGTAGTCGCGCAGGTTGCGGCACGACGCGCTGCGCCGCCAAGTGAGGCGCGCGCGCCCGGCCGCGTCGTCCTCGTCCTCGTCCTCCACGTGCAGCGACCCGCCCGAGCGGCTCGAGCGCGTGGACGGGCAAGCCGAGTAGATGTTGCTCTGCGACAGCTCGTACTCGAGCCGCTCGGATGACTTCTTAAAGCTCGAGGAATGCTTCGCGAGCACGAAGTCCGGGTAACCGCTAGAGGGGGGCGCGGCGGCGGGGAGCGGTGCAAGTCGCGCGGTGAGCGGGGAGGGGGGCGAGGCGGGGGGGCTCTGACCTGGGCGCGCACGCGGCGGCGGAGTGGGCGCGCGGCCGACCCCACTCGCACGTCCCAAACTCGCCTGGCTCCATGTACTCTCCGGAGAAACCTGACCAATACACGACAATATGAGTTACATTTTGCATTCACACTGTAACAAAATTATTTATAGTAAGCTACACTAACCAATGGTGTCGTCGTCCGATGAGGCAGAGGCGAATCCTCCGTAGGATGATGATTGACCTCGGCATGGGTCACTAGCTCGGGAGCCTGTGGGACGATATGACCCAGTTATTCAAGTGGCAAGCAATCTAAGTTGGCTGGTTACATACAGATGGACCCCGTGCCGTAAGTGCTTTACGGAAAATGTGCGAGATGGTGGGATGTGTGCTTTAATTGATTGCAGTTAATTCCCTTCACCCACAACAATAAGAAATGGTGCAAAAAAATATTAAAATGAAGACCATTTCGATGTTAAAGTTAATATTAGCGCATAGCAGCATGGAGTCAGCTGTAGAAACTTTGTATTACGTTACGCAAACATAATATTTGTCGCTAATGTGATAAAATTATAGTGTGCTAACTCAGTCCGCTATGGCTAGTAAAATTATAACACTGAAAGTTAAGAATATACATAAATAAATTATGACTTGCATACAGTATTACCAGTGGAATATGAATAAAGAAAAAATTCATGATTTCTGAACCATGCCTTCGTCTAGTTTGGTTACGTAATAACTCTATGAACATTTCAAATCGAATAATTAATAACTTCATACATATTTAATACATGAACACAATTATTTTTTACACCTATCTTATTCTCTCATAGAATTTTACTATAGTAGCAAGGAAGGCGGCGAGATATCCATTTTAGTCTTTCACAGCTAATGAATAAGATCACTTATTGAATGTAACCAAACCAGACATTGATATAATGACGAAGAACAGTTAGATATGATCCAGCAAGTTTAGAAACATTGTAATACGAGTATAATACAAGCCAATTTGTATTGGGCCCTTACGATTTGATTGCAGTACAGTTTTGAAAGCTGAAAGAAACAAATACAAATCTATGTGAAGTTGGAACAAAGCTTCAGATATTCATTTTGTCTGCGCACTAATGGATATGTATTTACATGGTGCAATAATAAGGTCTTATTCTAATAGAAATTGCGGGAGGACATTTTGATTGCCGTTTAGACCATATTCTTAATGATAATATAGATATCTTGTGATCAAATAGCCCACTGGTACAACATTGACTATAGTCTCCAGAAAAGACCTTATTGTTATATCATGTTGTCAATATTTGTAAGCTACTTCTAAAATATTGTGCTAAACTAGTAAGTAGACTTCTTTCTTTTTCTACCGACAAATGGACTTTTGTCAGTGACTAACGGTAATTGAAAGCGGTGCACAAATATTTTATAGATTTCGTCCGTCATTCTCTAGTCTTATAGCGGTTATTTAGTCATCCAGAAAAACGTTAAAGTAGTAGAAAGACAATCCATGTTATGGCAAAAAACTACTCGTCTAAGTTTAGAGTCACATTTGTTTGTTTACTAACGATGCACTTACACAAATTGAGAGTACTATTAACTAGTTCTAAGTCAACATATAAGTAGTCAGCCTGAGTGTTACCTTGTCCCTCGTGGTGACATACGCGGTAGCTGCGAGCGGCGGGCGAGTCCCTGCCGCGGGCCGGCGCGCCCGCTGCGCCGCCGCGCGCGCTTCCTCCGCACTGTAGCCCTTCATCATCAGAGAAGCCTCCAGGTAGTGAGGTTGCTTGTCCCACTCCAGGGAAATCGCTGCAAACATCAACACGCTTACTCACACTGCTCGACTGAGTGACGGGACCACGTGACGAACTAACGAGCGGGACGTCGATTGGAAACAGTCAACATTTAATTGAAAAATGGAACATTATATGAGAAAATTGGTGCAAATTTAGTCAAGGGCTAATAAGTTGGCGGGGTGAGGCGGAGTGTACGTACCGTCGGAGCCGGGCGGCAGCGGCAGCAGCGGGTGCGCGGAGAGGCTCTGGTTGAGCGGCGCGGGCGGCGGCGCCACGTTGCCGCGCGACCCGCCCACGGAGCGCGACGCGCGGAACGAGCCCGACCTGCGACAGTCGGGCAGAGGATGGTGACCGCTGGCACCAGCTTTTGGTTTGTGTGTGGCCCCGCACCGAGCACATACTACCCGGAAATATCTGTGCACTCCTTCATCCCCCTACTTCTGCTCTAACGCCCGATTTGTCCGCTCTATACGTATAGCCCCGCTAGATAATACCATAACTGCTGTCGAAAAAAAAAAATAGAAACGTCAATGTGCGGGATTGACATTGACATACAACAAGTTTGTTGTAAGATTGACCTTGACAGCTTACGTCAATAATTGGCTTATGTAAAAGCCATGCTTTGAGCAATGTATAACATTGACATTGAGTTTCTCGTAAGCTTATGTCAGTCCTATACATTGACTTTTCTATTATATTTTAACTGACTAACATTTATGCCATTTGTCTAGCGGGGCAGATTGATTTCCTGACGCGACTGAAAAAAGCGCACAGACATTTCCTACGTACGTAATACTTGACTTCCTGTATTCAGTTTCAAGCGGGTTTTCGTTTTCGGCTACCATGTATCTTAAATAAGGTAGAAGTGCCTCAGTCACTGTTTGCGGTAAAGAGAAAAGCTATTGTCATCATTATTAAACCTGAGAATATTTATAAAAACCAACAGCTGTCAATTTTACTCGCATCTTTCTCTCAATGGAACAAAGAAATTCTACAGATATTGTGCCATAAGTGATACACAGCATTTTGACCCTTAAAGGCTAGTAAAAACGCATGTCGTTGTGAGTAGTGTCGTAATGCGCCAGAACTCAAAATATAGGAAGTCAAGCACCCGTACAGTATGTAATCTGTGCCCTTACGATACGCGTCGCGCCGCGACAGGCCTGCGGTCCTCGTGCGTCAAGCAAGCGTGACCAACTAAGTTCTAGTGTTTCTCTTATAACTAGTACCGGTAACTTTAGAAGTAAGACCGCGACGTGAATGTAATGAGAGCGCAGACCCATCATAGACAGACCCTACGAGATACGAATACGACAACACCATCCTCCGACCGATTGTCAGTGCCGTCGCAACGCAACGCACTCGCCACTACACCGTACTCGTTTATTTGGAAGAAGCGGAAATTTCAACGGATACAGCGCATGCTCGAGTATATGCTAATCACCATCGATTCATACAAAACTATCGAAGCCTCGCGCTAACCAATTCGATTGTTCGAGGGACTTGTTACATCATGCATCTGTTCGTTACGACTCGCTTCTCTTGTCACACAAACGCCCACAAGACAAAACCAAAAGCTAGTGTCTCCCAGCCCATGCTAACCACTCACCTTGCGTACACTTAGTATTAACTTACGACCTACCTACGCTGGTTCGTTGGGTATTGTACCACACTATAGTACATCTATAAGCGTTGTCTAGCTACGCCTAGCTGCATTAAAGACAAGTTACAGTAAGAAATCTATTTATATCAACTATAGCGGCTTAAGCTTATTCATTTTGTTATACATGCAATATTTACACGAGCCAGAATTGACTGTTCAGCGTTTATGTCAATTTTACCTCATGTCAAATTTAGATTCTACATAGAGTATATAGAGTACATATTGGCATAATAGCTAAGCTTATGTATAACAGTATTATATGATTATTATATTCTTACCTTTGGAATGTTTGCCGTTTCACGTAGTTGTCTCTCACGTACTCGACGATTTGTTTCTGGGTTTTACCGCTATACCTGTATTATCAGAAAAAGGTTATTATTATTATTTATTTACCCCAATAGAGACACGTGAGTAGTTTAACACCTATTAGCCAATGACACACACACCACACCTCAGTTCTTATGTTCTCTGTAACTTCTTCAACAACTCACCTAAACGATGATCCTCTGGAGATGACCCTGGTCTTCTGCCGGGGCTGTCGTTGCACACTGGAACATCGGAAGAACCCATGGTTCTCCACGCACTTCTTCCAAAAGTTCTTACACTCGTTACGACCGTCGAAGAAGAATTCTACTACGTCGCGGTAGTAACCCTATTACAAAAATAAGATATAATTACTATTTTATATTTTGGGACATAGGCAGGACCTGGACAGGGAACATTTAGTGAAGGCTAGTTACCCCTTTAATATTTTAATTGACAATGTTAAGAATTGTTATTATTAGTCAAAAGACAAGTATTATAAGGCTCCCCCAGTAACTTCCAGTTCGGTCGGTTGGAAGCTCCACTGACTCCCTCTTATCTATATTAGGTCCGCTGTCGACCTGGCAATTAACCGATTCTGGTCAAAAAACAATAAATTCATTAACTATACTCACACTAACATATCCCTCAGGATGCAGTTTGATAAGGAACTTTTTCCTTTTGAACGATATCTTCCTAATCTTGGCCCAGCTGAACGTGTTGATCTTCGTGTAGTTCTGAAACACTATTATACCCAAGTGTGCTACTGCGAGGTTCAAGGGAACGCCTTCTTGTTCCTTCGCTGGATGCATTTTTATACCTGGAACAATAGTATTTTATTTGAATACACATGTATTTTGATAGATTTTGCTGACAAATAATAACACATTCACATCAACTGCACGTTTTAGCCAACTTCTGAACTTTAGGTTTCAATACATAAGATAGTTTGCCGTATTCTGCAAGCTTAACAGTAGGCTTGATTCAGGTTAATTAGGAAATTCGGAGAACTCTGGCATCCGGGCAAGGGGTCTCGGGCCCGGGTCGGGCATAGTATTACTGGGTTTTAAAAAAAATCTCAGTAGTAGCACTTGGACTGGAATTGTGCCCGGTACAATTATGGCAATAGGTTTACCGTATTACATGGGACTCGTAACATAAATAGTGAAAAGTGGGTTTTACATTATACAGTGGCATAATGTGCACCTCTGCCTACCCCTTCGGGAATAAGACGCGTGATGTTACGTTCTGTTATCGGAGAGCTCTGCAGTTTAAACTTTGTAAATGTTTCTCGCGACTCTTATGTTATCGACATGTAAATCAATGTAGTATTAAGTAATCTATACGAGAACCATCACTATAACACATACAGAACTAATAATCCAAATAGAAAAACCTTAGTAATAATAATAACAAGTCGAACTTATCACTCACCGTAAAGTTCGCATCTCCGCGCCGTTTCTAACAAGTTTAGGTCGGCTTCAGCGGGACTCTGGCCTCTGCAAGACAAAAACAAAACAATCACTAAGTCTACTCTGATTGGCACAATTATCGGAATTAGTCTAGAGACTGCCCCCGTACACAAGTTCAGTTGCGATTAACGCAATCGATTTAAAAACGAAACTTCGTGAGAATTCGTTTGGTGATTTTTTATGGTACTAGCTTCTGCCCGCGAGTTCGTACGCGCAGTCCCGTTTTCTCCCGTTCCCGTAGGATTTTCAGGATTTTTCTGTCGTAAGAACCTTCTCCTGACAATAACAAACACAACAAAAATAAGATCAGCCAAATCGGTCTAACCGTTCTCAAGTTATGGCGTGATAACGGGAAACGGGTTTCATTTTTATATATTTTTTATGGTATAAGCCATAAGACGACAAACGGATCTCCTGATGGTAAGCAATCGACGCCGCTCAAGGACACTCGCAACACCAGAAGAGTTACAATTGCGTTAATGACCATTTGGTGGTTAGGGATTTGAGGATTTCGAAAGGGGAAATTGAGAAGGGAGGGGAAAACTTCCTCACCCGGCGAAACACAACGGTTGCGTTGTTCGTTTACACCGATGACCTTAAGAAATCTCCATACATTTATTTCCCCAATAATAATTATCGGTACTGAACTTGACAAGGAGACCTGTTTCCATAACTACCGAGTTTTGTTTTTGTTTACCACTATTGTTGCTACCTAACAAAGTTGAGATCCAACGTATTGAGAGAATAGCCAACTAGTTTCGGTTGAACAGAAAAACGTCTGGAAAGTTCTTCGGCATTATTTGAATGTCAAGGTAAAATAATTACCTATGTGCCTTTTGTTATAAGTAAGTATTGATTTGAAATCTGTAAGTTAATGTAGTACGCAGCTAATACATAGGTTACAATTAACTTGTAAAGGAAGAATAGGAAAATAACTTGAATAAGAATAAGTTAAATCTTCTTATTTTTACTTTACACTGCAATAAACGTCTAGACCAGGGGTTCCCAAAGTGTGCGCCGCGGCGCCCTAGTGCGCCATAGAAAGTAAAGAGCGGCGCCGTAAGTGAATTCTCTAATTATTGAACACCACAAATGTTGGCGGATACTTTTTTGATCAATGTGGAGCAAGAAATGAGAGAACCAGTGTGAAGTCTTTTTCCCCTAACCTAACTACTTTATTGTACCTATTTCTTTCGGCTGTTTTCCTTAAATAGTTAGCTAGGATAGGGCGCCGTCAAAAATATTCAACTTGTAACTGCGCCGCGGGTATAGATATATATATATATGTATAGATTGGGAACCCCTGGTCTAGACATTCAATATCCTTTAAAATTTAGTTTCCACTTACATGTGTTTTTTATGGTTTTCCATGATCCGCCTCTCGGATTCCGAGTCCTGCCCAGGGAAGAACTTGTATCCACTGAGGTAGGTGTGGTCCGGATAGTCTTCTGGCACGAAGTCGCCACATTCCGCTGTGGACATTAAGATAACATTATATATCTGTATTAAAACATATCGTAGGAATGCTAATCAATCAATAAAGTAATATAGTATTTGTAACAGCTTCGTGTTAGACAGTTAGTTAATGAAGATCTTTGTGAAAAATTACTTAGTAGTAGATAGCAGTCTGGAACAGACTTTTCATCACATCGCTAAATAGATTTTCAGCTACCTATTCCGGAAATTATTTGAAGAAATTGTGCAGTTTGAAATAACCTTGGTGTGCTACTTTATACTCATAACAAAATCAGATCAGCTCTTTTTCAACTATCAAGGTAGACAAGGTTTAAGTGTGGAAGAACCATGCTTCGGCACGAATGGGCCGGCTCGACCGGAGTGATACCACGGCCTCACAGAAAACCGACGTTAAGCAACGCTTGCGTTGTGTTTCGTCGTGTGACTGAGGTTACCGGGGGCCCAATTCACAATTTCTGAATCCCCAACAATCCTAAAACTCCTAATCCCCAAAAGACCGGTAACGCACTTGTAACGCCTCTGGTGTTCCAGAACGACGCTCATTGCGCAATGAGCGACGCTGATTGCTTACCATCAGGTGATTCGTCTGCTTATTTACCAGCTTATGCCATAATAAAAAAAATGTCATCAACATCGAAACTAATTTAGCTATCTAGGTCTATCTAGGTATACTAGGTACATACGTGTACCAGTACTTTGTCACGAATATTAACTGGACGTTAATGTACTAGCAGGCTTCGTTATTAATATGGAATTGTTGATGATTTAGGTCAAACAACGTAATTGAAGCTGCGCCTGGCTGGCAAACTTTGTAAGCTCAATACAAGTTTTAAGGCCACCATATTGTGTTGTGTGTTTACACATGAATTTTGTACGAACACATCAAATTTTAGAGAAGATGATAATTTGCTAATATCATGTATATTCATAAAGTTTAATTTCATTTTGATAATGTTAAAGTCTCTCGCGTTTCTTAAGAACGTCTGGATCATTGAAATTCTTATTATGAATGTTAAGAATCATTATGGTTATCTGATGAAAGTCATGTAAAGAAAGAGTTGAATGAATTCCCGTTAATTATTGCAATTTACAAGTATTTTAGGATTACACCTTGTTTAAAAAGTAAACAAAGATTAATCATACTTTTTGTGCAATACCCTGGAATATTCTTTATTCAAATAACGAATAACACCTAGATAAAAAATACCTCGATAACGAACTAAATACCACTATAAGAGTCATTTATCAACGACGCGAAAAAAAAAGTAATCTTTTACCTTGAACAATGTAACTGGCCATGAGCGCAGCAGTGTTCTCATTGCACTGGATGCACCCTGTAGCCAGGTCCTTCTTCACTTGCAGACAGAACAGGTACCGTGTGAACTCCTCCTCCAACCGAGCAGGGTCTGATGTGTAGAACTTCACGCAGAAACGTAACGTCGGCTCCAGCATTGAGAGGCCTACTTGACGACACATCGGCTTTTCTGAGTCCAGCCAGTACTGTGGAAGGATAAGCGTAAAATTAATTCCAAACGAAATACATTTTTTTGCTGGTTGAGTTGAATTTGATTGGTAGAAGCGCGACTGTTGAGCAAGGAATTCTACGTTGATTGGAAAAGAGGTAGGGTTTAATTTCCGTTGAGACAAGTACATAGCACTCATCATCAACAGCTTATAAATGTCCACTGCTGAGCAAAGCCTCTTCTCACGTGGAGAAGGTTAGAGCATTAATCACCACACTTGCTTAATGCGGGTTGGCGATTACAAACTTTTAGAAATTATAAGCCCAGGTTTCCTCACGATGTATTCCTTCACCGTTGGTCAGTGGTGTCTAAATAATCTTAGAAAGTACATATAACTCGGAAAAAGTCACATTGGTACTTGCCGTTGGTAGGTTTCTAACCCGCACCCTCATGCATGAGAAGCAGGCGTCTTCAACCTCAGGGCCACCACGACTTTGTACATTACATAACACAGTACATAGCACTGCTTTACTGATTCCTAAACACATTACTTTTTTCTCTACGCTTTCAATCCTAAAGCGAGCACAGAATTTAAGACAAGCTAAATTCTTGATCCCTATGTATCCTTACAGATGGTGAAAAATTTAACTTAGCTACATTTCATAATATGCACCGCAGTCTCACAAAACATATCTATTTACATTATACACACATATTAATATTATACAGTTATGTACTAGGAAACTATCAGCAGCGATGCAGTCCCTAGGGCGGCAGGTAGGAAACATTGTGGTAACCAAACAGTTGATATACAAATACATACTCATGTATGGTATCCACAATATTGACCGCGAACATACCACGTGGTTATGTAAAACCACATTACCTTAATAACAATATTGGATCAGCAAACGCTCAATTATCCTCATACAGCATCACTCCATTACAAGAAAAATGTTACGAACATGCTCAGAGTATTTATTAATCAATGTGTATTAGTACATTTATTATAAGTTATTAATTTATATTAATAGATAAGGTGATTAATAATTATAATTGGGTAGTTTCCAGGGTATCAAAATTAAAATTCTAATTATTAGAACTAATTAGAAAAAATATTAGACACTTATTTTTTTATTTTCTCGTATTAAGTTGCAATACTTAGATAAAATGACGCTAAGTTTAGGAGTGGGAGGTCGTTCCGTCGTAACGTGCGTAACGTGCTGCAAAATGTGGCACGCTGTGACGTCACACGTCACAATATTTCAAATTAATATATCGTCGAAAGTATTTAATTTTGTAAGAAAAGAAAAAATACATGTCTAAAGTTTTAAATTAATGTACCAGACGGACATTAAAATAAATATAGGAAATAAATTGCTACGCCCGAACAGGATCATGTACCAGTTGCAGCAGTATGGACTTAGTATTGTAAGTACTTCTAACTTCTAATAACATTGGGCAAAATAAAAAACTTAGCGCCTGTTTGCCACATAAGTTATTGTTGTATGTGCCACATAATTATCGGATACTTATATGAAGATGACGAAAAGGCTCTTAATCTCATCAGCCGGTACACGTCCACTGGGCCTTCCTTTTGATCAGTTTGGATACCCTAAAATTTAAAGAATGCCGCGTTCCCAATTGATTGCAGGCCCTTTTTTTGATGTCGGGGGAAATCTTCAAAAGGCGTCTAACTTTTTGGGGACAAAGACTAGGGAGTGTGGGATTCGTACCTCACTAAAACCCCGGTGGCCACCCTCAGCACCTGTAAGGGACACCTGGTCCTCTTAAGAGACCTAATCCGGAGCCCCCAAGCTGATCGCAGGCCACACATAGCCAGGTACGAAGAAACTTTACACGTCGATCATATAAATCTGTAGTAGGTAGTGAACTTAGCAACACATTTTGAAATTGTAGCCATTAGTATTTACACTGTTTCAGAACAATACATTAATTTGTATATAAATATTATTTACAATGCATTGTTGTCGCAAAACTACTGTGGACCAGCCAGCTCATTCTCTTACATTGTGTACTTTTCATTATTTGTATTATTCACGCAACTCAGTTATATTCAGTGCTTGTGTAGTATTATCCTCCTATTATGCAACAGGAACTATCTTATGTTGATAAGTAGAATGGTTTGTTTAAAATCTACAATTAATTTGTGCTTAGTTACATTTTTAATTTAATGCTCGCTAGATTTTTAGAAACACGAAACTTAGTTAGTAGCTTGTAATTATGCGAGAAGAATAGTAAATTATCTCGCGCTCTATCAATAAGTTACTTGCGAAAATGGTTTACTTTACTATAATGTTAGGTATATACTACGTTACTGTATATATACCTAATATTGTGCGAGTGAGCAGACATTTTAATAAATTGTGCAGACATTTTAATAAATTGTGCAAAGATTTAGGACTCGATCCATTTTCCACAAGCAGTTCCAGAGTGCGTAGGCGACTAAACCCTAAATTTACTGAGTAAATATCCTTATTTTTTTACTTTCATGTGCATTGCATTCGCAAAAACTCAGCATATCCTGAATTTTTATTCTATTTAATATAGCAGTTGATTACCCAAATTAAAATACATAAATAAGTCTTCTCAAATCATCCCTTCGGATCACGTCCGGTAAGTTCGAGGATTGCGCAGACGGACATTTTCATTATTATAATCACCGAAATGTTAAGCATTTCAGAAATCACAGTAGCCCTTAGATTAGGAATGACTTCACACACTTCTACCGTTATAATTGTAGTTGTGACAGCAGTAAACTCCAGAAATCTGTACAAATCGCATCCATATCCCTGCGTTTGCAACAGAGGCATTACAATTTGCGCGATCCAATTAACGCTGCACTCAATTGTCATACGAGTAGGGTTTCCAGAGTACTAACGGTTCAGTGCACAGCGTAACTGGAACGTTCATATAGTAACCTAACTAGATCAATGTAGGTAATGTTAAGACTACGAAGGAATCTCGACTTTATTGCAAAATAACCTATTGCTATTGCAAAGGAGTAAATTCTCTCTGTTTTTGTGATGCTAATTAAGTTCAAATTGCGTATTTTTGTAAAAAAAACATCATTACTTTACCCAAAGATCCTTAGCTCTATGCAAGCATGATGATATTCTTGTTATTTTTACGCATATTACTTTGCACCTATTTTTTTATTCAAGTCTTATGAGCTATGAGGCTTACGACCCTTTAAAAGCATATTAAAGTTAGTCCCCGGGGACAAACGACGCATGCACTCCCATTCGCTCCATAAATCCTCGCAATTACCGGTTGCCTTGCATTACTCTAACTAAAAGAGTCCTCCAAAATGTTATTTTGCTACATGACTTAAACATGTAATTCGAGTGTAGGAGAGTTCAAACTTGAGTGTGCTATGTCACTCAATGTCACGTCTAATCTCTAGCGGTTGGAAGTTCAATTGAAAATAAGCGGTGTCACTTTCAAGATGATATTTATGTGACATCTAAGGAAATATTGTATGTGTATGTACGTCATGGATACAGGAACTTGGTGTTCAATCAATCAATTTAGTCTGTTGCAGCTGCTGTTTGTTTTTTGTTTTATTATTCCGTTTGGTTGACGAGATCAATTGGCTTCAGTAGCTGGTGCTTCAGAAACATACTAACAGTGATCGAGCTTCGAACTTATATAGAAGTATCCATATCATCGGATATTTATGATATTTAATGAATCATGCGCTAGGCTCATGTCCCAGCATAGCAGTTGTTTACAAATCTTCGAAACCTTTCAATATTTCATTTGATCCGGAAACTAAAGAAAAACTAAGTATTCCAAGCTCAACAGTCGTAGAGTCCACAAAATCAAAACAGTATTCAAACAAAAGTATTTCTAAATGGATAAATAAAAAAAAATAACAGAAAATAGTAAAAAAGATGATAACGTACCCATACCTTCGTACCGTTGGCGTCCAGGTACTCCAAGCCGAAATAGTCAGCCTCTAGCAGGTGTAGCTGCCGACATACCTGGTCGAAGAGCACTCTGCCTAGCGCTTTTGACTGTAACAAATAAAACAGGAGTTTAAAAACAGACAGTAGACTATAAAGAAACTTGACCTTTGTATGATCAGGTTGACATCAGTATAAGCTAATCAGATGGAACTAAATGCCTGTGTATGACGTCAATTTTGAAATTAATACAACACGGTTCGTGCGGGGGCTGGACTGATGCGTAGAGTATTTCTTGTTAGATTCCTAAATAGAACAATAACTTGTCTAAGAGAATGTTAGGTAGTATATTTCACAGGAGAAACTCCATCTAAGTGGTCTTCTTCAACAAAAAATGTGAGTAAAACTCTTCCGAAGGCATTTCGTTTGACAAATATTAATGTCGAAAACACGGACGTCGAGATGTAAGTTGCTACATTCATGGATTCCTGTTACAAGCTCATAAGAACAACTTCATATGAGCTGAAGATGAAACATGCCTGTGTTACCAAAATAGATGAAATGCCGCATTCCGCAGATATTCCACATTGAAGTTTGTTATAGTAATGTTGTTTAGTTTTTCTCCTTATATTGCAAATACTACATATCATACAAATCAGTATTTGATAGCAACTCCAACGTAATTTAGCAAGATAATTTCGTTTGCAGAAAAAAAAAATGCTCACATAAATATAAAGCTAATTTTTTCACAAAGAACAGCATCACGTAATAAATCTTTAAAAAGTTTAAAGTATTCCGAATTTCCGTCTACACTTTTTTGTGACTTTGGAAAGTTCTGGAGCCATCGTTCCTCGGAGGAATGAAAACGGACCCCAACCCAAAGAGGTTAATGATAATGATCGGTAGGACATCAATCACATGGAACCGTCTAACTCTGAAGCTTGACATATAAAAGGACTTACAGATACAACGCATGTAGTACCTAAGTGCGCATTTATCCGGGTTTTCGTCCATTTTAACTTTCAAGGAGATCTGCGATTAACAGCTCACGATTCAAGTTTAGAAGACATGTGTAGAGAACCTGTCGTTTGAAGTTTCTGACATTTTCATGGGAATCATAAATAATGAACGAACAGTTGGGAAAAAGAACCTCCAATCTAAATCCAACAATTATAATATGGTCTGTATACTGAACAAAATAAATTACTTTACAAAATTCTATAAAGATGAAGCGAAAAACTTGAAACTCTTGTTGTGGAAGCTTTGGTAAACGAGCAAGTAATACGAAACCATTCACAAAATTAAAGGCTACATAAAAACTTTGCACACAGATTCCCTGAAAAAACAGTGTAACCGAACGAACTTCGCGTAGGTAGAAGTATTCAGAAATTCCGTCTTTTTTATTGCGGCTTCCTTTTCCGCTTGTACGGTTTGCCACGGAACATATTCGAAAATAAACGGGGGAAAATGGCTTTCAGACTTTACGTCATCAATGCCAAGTGAGGGAATAACCCTTTTTCCTGCAACTTGTTTTCAAGTTACGGAACCATTTTAGGAAACCTTTTGAGACATCGAGGGTTGAATGCAGGGTTTGTTGCTCTCAAGGGGGATGGAGATGTAATCTGGTATATTTATTGTGATTACTGTTCAAGGTGCTTCCTAAGAACCTTGTTTAGTTACGAATGTTGAAGAACTAATGAATACAAATCACATGTAAGTTCACAAAGATACTTAAAAAATAAAAATTCTAGATACAAAGATGAGCAAACAAATAGAGGAAGGATAGAAGTGGAGTAGTGATCGTATCCGGTAACATGTCGATAAACAAACCAATCTAGCACAAATATTGTTATTCTTTTGAATGAACATAAGAAAACATAAACAGTACACGTCTGTTCCACGTGTAGTAGTTCAAACGGAACGGAACGTAACTTTGTGTTGTGAGTAATCCTAGTTTATTTTCACTTTTTCTTTTTGATTTTAGCAGATACTTATGTATAAGCAATAATTTGGGACTTAGCAGTAACGCATGAAGCTGTACCACTACTAAAAGCACCTTTGATATATTGTCATACTTCGATCTTTTCTAATAGAGCTCAAAACACCACATCTCGTAAATCATGCCCCACCATCCTCCGAACACATTACCGGTTCGAAATAATAACATCAGTGACTACACCATAAACGGGTAAATCAATATTCGTAACGTTATACGCCTATCGCGTTTCGTATTCCTCAGCTCGTAACTTAAACTTGATGTATAAAGTTACCCTGTGTTGACAAACAACCGTGGCCCAAGTTAAACAGTAAGCAAGTTAAAATAATCAGACGTCTTTGTTATTACTCTGACATTTCGTAAATGAGACTTGAGTGCTCCATCACGAGTGAGCTTGTGAGATTATGTTCTACATTTACTTGAATTTCTGTTCATTTTGTCGAAAAAATTAAAACGTTCTCAATTTTATTCTTGTGGATCATTTAGGTTTTTTAATCATTCAGTGTGATGAAAAAAACGCCATTGACCTTTTTCTTAAAATATGGACTTTCTCTGTAAGTATTTTATTATCATTTTCCTTTCTCGACTCTGTGTCGTCTATAAGACATTAAACTGTCAAACACCAAGCGGTCACCGGTGACCGCAACCTATTGTTCTATAATTGTGTCTACAAAACCGGTACTCGACGAGTTAATGCAGTTCGTCCATATGACTGTTAATAACAGCTCAGTTACTAAGACCCTCAAATAAATCAATTAAATGGAAGGAACTCGTGGAAGTTTTAATTTTCCACGAAAAACTGAGAGAAAGTTTATCGAAAAAATCCTACAAAGATACTGAACTATTCGTTTCTTTACTTATTCCAAGAATGCTTTTAAAACTGAGACCTAATTCCAGATAATGCTTTGGAGTTTGTTCTTTATATCCAGTGCCAACAACATTTACAGAATGGATCGTGGACTATGTTTTAACATTAAAGATAAATGTAAATTTTCCACCAAACGGGACTACAAATGTTTTGAGTAAAGGTCATGGTGACCCTTGACAATAAAAGCGGATTTTACTCAAGGACAACATGGGAAAACGTAGTACATTTCCTAATACAAACGATGTTAGGAAAGCTGGGAACCGCGTGGGCGTCCCCACCTTTACGTAATAAAACCCTTGAATACAAGCAACAACACAACTAATGTAGAAAGGTAATTTTGTTAGGAATAAATAATGAGTTTCTTATCATCGACACTTAACACGGAATTCAGTTTATTTATTATTTAGACATACTGTAAAACCTATTTTTCCTACGGTCTAAAACAACGTCACACGCGGCACTGATAGTCTCATGAATACTCAGTTTTAATTCATAAATAGGTTAGCTCTAAATTAACTAAAATCACGGGTTACTCACATAAATATATTGAGAAAAGCTCTACTAGTTGTTGTAGTGCGCGGTCGCGGCGACGTCGCGCTGCTCATGAGGAAGAAAGCTCTGTGGTTCGAAACTAGTAGAGCTTTTCTCAGTATATTAACGTGACTAACCCGCGATTTTAGTTAATTTAGTATGTCTCACGATAGTTATTATAAAAACATAGGTTAGCTCTAGTCTAATCCTAAAGTTAATCTGCAACTATACAGCTTCTAGACAATTCATAGAATAATCTCCGTTAAAGGTATCAAACTGACGACCTCGGGCATGACTCCCGTTAACAAGCTGGGGCATCGGTCCGTGTGCGAGGGGAGTACTGGCTACGTTATTAATAGTTGTGTATGGCCAGTATGGGTGACACGTTGACATTGGATCGCTCATCATCCCAATGTTCACATTATTGAGATTCATCATTTAATTTTAAAGGATGTGGGTTGTCATCAACCATATTGCGTCAGTCTGTTCTGATTCCTATTATAGTAATCAACTATTTGGAATATTTTTGTTGTAATAAGGTAAATATTATAATCTTAAGTTAAATAATATAAGTAGCGCCATCTAGTGTCAAGTTGGCGAGTTTCTCATAGACGTCGATATATCATCTGTGTTCTTCCCTTTTGTCGTCTGCATGGCGCCCATCATGTGCTTTCTGTGTGATTTATAATAAAACTACGAAAATGTAACAAGCTATTATCTATTGTTCGACCACATCCACCACTTCAACAATTTTTTTAAACTTTTTGGCGCTAGAGTAATTTGAGACATGCGGTAAATTGATAAACATGTTAGGTACTAAAAGTGTAGAATCCCTACCTACCCAGCTAGTTACTTCTTATTCAAAACTTAAAGATTTACATTGAATTGAAAAATAAAAAACTGAAAAAATTTAAGAACTAGAAACTTTAAGTCACCCGAAGCCAATATCGAAGTTACAAAATTATTGTAAGCCGATTCCAGAAATGGAGAAGTTGGGCGGTATTAACTTTGTGCAAAGGCGGACTTAATAACGCCTCGGGCGATATCTACGAGTCATCTGAAGAGAAATGTATAGATGGCAGAACGTTTGTAAAAGTAGTAATTTACTGTAGCACAAATTTATCAGGTTTACGGGATCAAATAGGCATGTAACATATTTGCCAAGTGACCTATTTCATTCGAAATACATTCTAACAAAAACGTTTTCGTTTTCCTTAAAGCTCATGCCACGCCTTAATTACTTATAATCCACAAGAAGATCAACGTAATGGAGCCGCTCGAAACAGAATTTTAGATGTAAGACACTTGAGTAAGGACGACAACGCCAGGAATAAAATATAAATATTGTATTGCAGAATTATGACCGCAGATCGCGAGGATCGCATTACTGAAGATATTTGGAATAATACCACCAAAATAATGCACGAACGACGTTTTTTCAAGGAAGAAAGTTCGAGAACAATCATAGGTTCTATCTTCGACAAATGTTTTCATATCGTCTTTAGGGGCAATAACAATGGCATTGATCAATTAGTACTTTCAGTTCACTACTCCTGTTTCTATTCCATTTCATTGGTTTGTTGGACAGCCAATCAAAGATCTTCCTATGTAACACGTCGTATTTTAGACTATTAAAATTAAAATCAATGTAAAATCAACTCTTTCTTCGTTAAATTAGAATGTTTGGATAAAAAAAAAACAATAAGACAAAGCACT